AATCAGAAGACAGCATAAAGGCCATAAAACCTGTTTACACACAAGTAATAGCTGAAAACTTTCCAGATGTAGAAAAAGAAATTAACATAAAGATAAGTGAAGCATAAGAACCCTGAATAGCCATTATCAGAAAAAGAAAAAAATCCATGCCATGATAATTAAAATAGTAGAAACAAAGCACAAGAACAGAATCCTAAAGACTGCTAGAGAAAAGCAACAAACCACCTATAAAGGAAAAACGATTAGATTTACAACAGATTTCTCAACACAAACCTTAAAAGCATGGAGAACGTGGAATGAAATGTTTCAAGCTCTTAAAACAACTTCTAACCCAGACTGTTATATCCTGCAAAATTATCCTTCAAAATTGATGGAGAAGTGAGATACTTCCATAATAAAACCTAAAGAAATTCATGACTACCAGACCCACACTCCAAAAAATTCTCAAGGATATCTTAGAAGGAAAGAATGAAGATAACCACACCAAAAAGTCCAATGAAATGAATACATCAGGTAGGGCTAGACATTAAGTGGAAGGGGGAAGAAAGTAAAACAGCAACAGGAAATTAATATGATAAATAAGTTAATACCTATCATTTATAACTATCAATGCAAATGGACTCAACTCACCAATGAAGGCACAGATTAGCAGAATGGATCAAAAAACAAAATTCAATATAATTATACAAGAAACACATTTAACACAAAAATTCATAGTTGGAAAAACCAAAGGATTGAAAAAAATATTCCACATGACAGGAACCTGAAGAAAAGCAGGAATAGCTGTTGTATTTTCAGGCAAAGTGGATTTCAAGCCAAAGCTGATCAAAAGAGACAAAGAAGGACATTTATATATTGGTTAATGGAACTATTCAACAAAAAGAAAGAATAATTACTAACATATATGCATCAAACCACAGTACACCCAAGTGTAAAACTGTAGTGGACATAAAACTAGTGGACATAAAGGATCAGATAAATATCAATACAAGTATTACAATACAAGAATCTCAATACCCCACTTTCACAAATCAACTAAACAAAATACCATCAAAGAAGTACCAGGTTTGAATCAAAGCTTTGAACAAATGGTCTTAACAGATACAGACAGTGTTTCATCCAACAACAATAGAATACACTTTTTCAGCCTTACGTGGTACTTTCTCCAAAATAGACCACATACTAGTTAATAAAGCATGGCTAAGCAAAAGCAAAAGAACAAAAGTAATATTATGCATATTAACAGAGCACAGTGTAGTGAAACTAGAAATCAATAGGAAAAGAAATGGAAATGAAACAACACACTCTTGAATAATCAGTGGGTCATAAGAGAAAATTAAGGAAGAAATAAGACAGTTTCTAGTATTAAATGAAAATGCCAGTACTCAAACTATGGACACAATGAAAGCAGTCCTATGAGGGAATTTTATAGCAGTGAATACCCAAATCAGAAAAACAGAACAAGCCCAAATAACCTAATGATGCATCTCAAGGTTTTAGAAAAACGAGTGCTTCCAGAACTTGTACAAGGAAGGAAATTAAAATGATCAGAGCAGAAATAGAGACTAAAAAAAGAAGTACAAAGAATCAGTGGTTCTTTGAAAGAAAAAATAAATCCTTAGCAAATCTTACCCAAAAAAAGGAATGAAAAGACACAGATTAATGTAATTAGAAATGAAAAATGTGAAATCACAATAGAAACTGCTGAAATCCGGAAAATTATTAGCAACTACTTCACAAACCTATATGCCAAACAAGTAGAGAACTCAGAAGGCATAGAGATTCCTAGATACATAAGAATTTCTAAAACTAATCCAAGAAGACTTAACTTGAGCAATCAAATTCAATAACAGGCAATGAAATTGAAGCAGTAATTTTGAAAAAACAAAACAACTACCAACTAAGAAAGGCCTGAGACCTGATGGATTCACAGCTGAATTCTACAAGAACTTTAGGAAAGCTCTAACACTATTCCTCCTCAAAATTTTTAATGAAATTGAGGGGAAAAGAGTAGTTCTAAATCATTCTTGGATGCTAACATTATCTTGATCCCCAAACCAGACAAGGATCCAACCAGAAAGAACTATAGGCCTATTTCTCTAATTAACATGTATGCTAAATTTTTCCAACTGCTTTTTCTGCATTTGATTATATATTTTTTCTTTTTATCTGGTCTTATTGTGAATTATGTTGATTGGTTTTCAGATGTTTAAATGCTTTTTTCATTTGTGGCATAAATCTCATTTGTTCATAGCACATACTCTTTTATATATTTTTGGACTTCATAATATTTTATTAAAGGTTGTTATACTTGTTTTTGGGTGCTATTTGTATTTTTCTTTTTCTTGTAGTTATTGTCATGGTTGGTGTCAGTAATGCTAATCTCATGAAATGAATTAGAAATTATTTACTTCTTTTGTATTTTGAGTTGTATACATTTTTATGTTATTTCTTCTAATACTTTATAGAATTCATCAGTGAAGGAGGAAGGAGGGAGGGAAGAGAGGTGAAGAGGATGTAAAAAGAATTACGATGTGTTATATATGTGTACCAACTGCCCAAGATGAATGTAATCATTGTGTACTGAAAACATGTACTAATAAATTTTTTTAAAATAGAAAACCACGTCAGAAAAAAATTCAGCAGTGAAGGTGTTTGGACATATATAAGATGTGTGTGAGAGACAGTTTGCGTGTATAAAGGTTTTTGTAAAAAAGTCAAATTTAAAGGATACAAGGTCATTCAAGTTATCTGTACCTTCCTTTTATGGAGGGAATGTGGTAGTGGTGCTTAGGATTGAACATCCGGGCCTCTGAGCCATAAATCCAACCCGTTTGTTCTTGAGTGAGCATTGATAGTTTGGGTTTTTCAAGAAATCTGCTTCATTTTAGTTATATTTACTTGTATAAAATTATTTACTATCATTCACTTAATACATTATTCACTTATTTTCAATTGTCTATAGTTTTGTTGTGATTACTTTTGATATTCACAATTATGTCAATTTTTTCTCAGTATAGGCAGAGGTTTGCCATTTTTACTCAGTTTTTTCAAAGAATAAACCTTTGGGGCTGGGGATTTAGCTCAGTGGTTCCAGCGCCTGCCTTGCAAGTGCAAGGTCCCGAGTTTGATCCCTGCTACCAAAAAAAAAAAAAAAAAGAATAAACTTTTGAGTTCATTGCTTTTCTCTATTGTTTATTTTCTGTGTACTATCTTTATTATTTCCTTCCTTCTGTTTACATTGAGTTAATTTTTTTTCATTTTCAAGGTGTTTAATGTGAAAAATAGGCTTATTGTAGACCTCTCGTAGAAAGGTTTTTCTAAGCTCTGTTATACATACATCTCACAAATTTTTGTATGTTATATGTTTAATTCAATTCAAAAATACTTTAAAATATACCTTGTGAATTTTCTTTTGCCCATATGTTATAAACAGATTTAGGGATATTGCACATATCTTTCTATTTACAGATATCTAATTTAATTCTCTTGTGCTCAGAAGACCTAACCTATTCCATATGATTTCAAAACTTTTAAATATATTGAGGCTTGTTTTGTTACTCAGAATGTGCTCCACCTTGGCTGATGTTCTGTATGTACACAAAAAGAATGTACATTCTGCTGTTGTTTAGTGAAGTGTTTTATAAATGTTAATTAGGTTAAATTCATTGATAGTGTTTTTCGAGTGTTTTCCATTTTTTCTTATGTTCTCTTAATTCATTAAATCTCCAGTTATAACTGTACATTTGATTTGTTTTCTCCTTTTCTGTCAATTTTTGCTATTTTATTTTAGAACTCTGTTACTGGATGCATTTAAGGTTTGTTATGTTTTTCTTTCAATTTTGGACCCCTAAGGGCTGAATTCTAGGTCAGTTTATCTCTTAGCACGTAAGAAATGTCTTTTTGTTGTTTTCTAGTGTGCATAATTTCAGATACAAAGTCTGTATCTTTGCTCTTCTGGATCCTGTGTCTTTTCCCCCTATTTTTAAAGGTTTTTTCTTCATTGTTTTTGAATTATTTGATTATGTGTTAATTTTTTTTCTCAGTAGATCAGTTGTCTTGCTACTTGTATAAATGTTGCTTAGAGTATAAAATCAACAGATTTCAGGTATTTTCAGTTTCCTGCACAGTGCCTACATATTAATATCTACTGTGAAGCCGCTACTCTGATTTATGAGGACTTCCAGTGACTGACTTGAGGTTCATGAAAAGTTTTGGATTGACCTTTGTTGATTCAACCAACACGAAGAGAATAGTAAAGTTTTATGCTTTGGATAGCTAGGGCAATTCTTTAGATTGCCTATCAAGTTGAGTCCTGTTAGATGGTGCACAAAATTTTATGTGCATACTAACTTAAAGTTAGTATGAAAAATTTCATCATTTTTCTCATGAACTGTATTTTTAAAAAAAATTGTAAAGCCTATAAGTACCCATTTAAGTGATGATGAAACTAATAAAAGGAATTGCAGTACTATTCTATAATACTTTATAGCTTACAAAGTAATTTTTATATTTTTTTCTTTTAACTTTATGATTGCTCTGTTTTTATAGACCTGCTCAAGTCAGCTCAAAGTAAATGGCTGAAGAAAACGAGATTTTATGGCTTATCATTTTTAAATGTTGAAAAAACAAAACAGAAATGTGTTTAAAATCCCTAATGCTTATTGTCATTTAGCACAGAGAAATTATTAGTTTCAAATGAGATAAACCTTCTAAGACAGTAAAATAAATCCAGAACAGAAAGCCTTCTCCTCCTGAATTTTTTTAACACTCTTTGTCCTCTAAGATTTTCAATTTTCTTTCATTTTAAAAGGAGAAAATATGTCCCTATTGTACTAAGATATTTCATAGCAAACATTGGTTGTGAAAGGGATCAATCCCACAATTCTAATCCTTATGCAAGAAATGATTACTATTTTTTTCCGTTTGGGAAAGTTAACTTTGTATTTGTTATTCTACATTGTACTTTAAAAGATTCACTTGGTTTTGTTTTGTTACAGGTATCCTCACTCAAGGACAGCTTGGCCCAGTAGACATCATCTTCCAGTACATTCACTATGATGAGATTTATGAGGCGATAAACATCCTGAGCAGCATGAACTGGGACAGTCTGGGCCAGCAGTGCTTTATCAGCATGACTGCCATTGTGAACTATCTTCTTAGGCAAAGGCTCACTCCAGAGAGAGAAGGTTAGACTGGATTTCTTAAATGGGTTTTGTGTATATGTGAAGTACATTTTTAAGTCAGTTAATTTTCTTGGATGTTTTGAAATTATATTGTTGGAGATTGATAGACAAAGATGTTAATAGTCAATTAAAACTGAAAGGATCAGATATCAAATAATTATTCCCAAACAGTATTTATAGTATGGTATTTGTCAACATAAGCAACTTTTCTGTATATCCTTGTGTTGGACTCACAATGCAGTCATTGTACAGTTCACTCTAAGCTCCTGTGGAATATGCTCAGATTTCAAACTTTGATCAGAAATTTCACATACTCTTTGGGGTCTGGTAGACAAAGGGCCCTAAACAAAGGTCTTTATTCCTTCCTCACATGAGACGTCAATATTTTTCTCACACCAGTCATCTGTCCAGATAATAGTCCTTAGCACTCAGTCTTTTTATGTGTCAGAATTGTAGTCCAGGCTGATCTTTCTTGTTCCCATTCTTCTAACTTGTGCTTTTGACACCCTTCTCCCTGCTCCGTGGTTGGATTTCCCCACCTTTACTCAGTAAGTAATTTTGCCTATAGGAGACCCAGATGTTTATTGTCAAAAGAGAGATAAGACAGGGCCAAAGATTTAGCTCAGTGGCACTTGCACCTCCCTTACAAGCACAAGGTTTGATCCCCAGTACCCCCCCCCCAAAAGAGAGATAAGACAGTAAAAAAAAGAAAAGAACTTTTTAGCTTTCCAGTTATCTAGTATACATTTTTATGAGTTATTCATTTACATAATGTAAAATGTTTGAGAGCATTCTGGCATTTGCATCTTTATTTCATATCTTTGTGGTATTTATGGTGGAATATCATGGCCAATGAGAAACTGTCCCTAGGTAATTTGTAAGACAGATATAGGTCAAAATGTCCTTACTGGGAGCATTTTCTTTCTATTTTCTGTGGATTTTTAATAGATTTTCTTACTCCATGTCTATTACATTTCCAAAATAAACAAGTTGCTTGGATAGAATTCTGTAAGTAACTTTTTTTATTTGTTTGTATGTATGTATATATGTATGTATGTATTATAATAGGGTCTGAACCCTCAGATCATGGAGACAATCCTATTTTATTTTATTTTTGTTTTGTTTTGTTTGTAGTAGTGGGGATTAAACCCAGCACCTTCAAATTCAGCTACATCTCCAGACCCTTTTAAATTCTGAGACAGGGTTTTGCTAAGTCACCAAGTTGTCTAGGCTGGACTTGAACTTATGAACCTTCAGCCTCATTCTCCTGAATAAGTAGGATTTTAGATGTGCGCCAGTACACCAGGCTTTTGTAATTTTAGAGAATAATCAGAAAAAACATGCTCCTTTAGAAAGTCTGTATCATGGATCTTGGCTCCACTTATAGAAGTACCATAATCAGTATTTATTGAATAGCAACTGCATGGATTATTTGGAGGTAGTCCAGATGTACCTCTGGAGACTGCTGTATTTTCACACTAAGAAAATGCCCAGGACAATGCTTCACACATAGTGGGTACTCAATGAATATTAAGTAAAAATAAATAGTATAACTGAAAGATTTGAGAGTGCAGGATATTATTGTAACATTTCTGCCTGCAGAGTTATCTCAAGTAATCATTTCTTAGTATTGATATACTCTCATGATTTGGTATATACTAAAAAAAAAAGACCCTAAAGAAAACCTGTAGTGATACAAATAATCTATATGATATCCTAAATTTACGGTAAAAGAAGAAACATGGAAAAGATAAAATATTGACTCACTCAGGACATTGAGAAATTGCTAGCACTATAGTGTATTTATGTTTTAAGAGTACTGTTTTTGTAAGAAAGATTATTAGGGAATACACAAATGGGCATTGTCAGATCCTTGCCCCAATAAGGAACGTTTCAAGCAACCATATTGGAGAGGTGGAGAAATAAAAAGCTTTCATGATATTAGACTATTAAAATGCTTGCATGATGCTGGGTTATCAGACTGTGTACATTTTAAGTAGATATGTGCATTTCTTCCAAGTGACTGCAAAACATATTTCTAAAACATTCAGAATTCTCTGTTGAGATTTATTCTGAGTCTTAACAAATTTGACATGGTAATTTGTTTTCCTTTTGGAACCTAGTGAGCTCTTTTATTTGTAGATGGGTTGTGGTTATCTTTTGAAATCTTCATTTCTGCCTTAAACATCAAGCTGAGCTATCTAATGAACCTATAACTGGTCTGGGAGTTCTAAATATTCCACATAGGTTTGAATGTTTCAGATCTACGAAACATGCTGTCAAGAAAACAAGCAATGTCAAGAGGATCTGGCTTGTTTTCACAATAGCATTGCTGTATTCAATTTTAATCTAAAATGACTGCTGCTTTGAAAGAAAATACCTCTAAATTTCATGTTACTTTACTGTCTAGATTTGAGATTTTTAAATGAAAGAAAAATTACTAACAGCTCAGCCGAGTCCATAGCAATTACTTGATGGGGTGTTTAATATTTCTAAACCCAAATATGCCAAAAACTAAAGAGTTTTGCTAAACAACAAATTGTTTATTCAATCTAGTGCTAGTAGCATAAAAATCAAAGGAGTCTAACTGTGAACTGAAGTGTTCTCATAAATACTCAATACTCTCACCATTGTGGTAATTACCAACTTTAGGTATTTCTGTGAGGAAGCACAGCCCCACAGGCATGTCTTGGTAAAATTATGAAGTAGACAAACTGTGCCCATACCCCTAATCTCTTAGTACCCTTGTTTATCAAATCCCATTTTCCAGTCCTCCTTTTTTTCTCCCATGGTGTTAGCTTTCACACATGGACAAAACCAAGAATCTTGTTTTTTAGGGCAGGATTTAGAAATCACATAGGTACTTGTGTTCTCCTAAAATTGTATGGGATAGTCTGTTGTACTTTGGCTCTTTTTATTTGTATTATTTTTGAAGATAATTTTACTGATTTTTGCAGCTGATTTCAATTCCCCATGCAAAAAGGTTTTCTCCTTTCAGCTAAAGAGAGTAAACGTTGAGCACACTGAGAGTTGATTTTACTGGAAATACTATTTCAAACTGTGTTACTTTGATGAGTCACTGTTTTAATTACCCATTTGTGATGAGACGTTGGCTCATTATGGATTTTTTCGGTTTTGACAGCTTTTTGTTGCTCAGAGTCATTGTCAGCTTTGCTTTAAGTGAAAGTTTATACACAGGTTTGTTTTTGTACTAGCTGTCATACTTTCATTTCATCTTTCCTGCAACAAGCTCACATTTCATCCAAGTTTGCAAAACCTGACTGACTGCAAACATGAGTATTCTGTAGTTATTAAAGGAGTTTCACTTGTTTTAAAGCTATTGTGTTTGAATTCCACAGCACAGCTTGAGGCAAGCCTTGGAACCTTCTATGCTCCGTCAAGACCACTGCTGGATACAACTATTTTGGAATATAGAGACCAGATCAGCAAATATGCAAGGAGATTTTTCCACCACTTGCTCAGGTGAATCATATCTTTGTATTACTGTCAGACTAATTACCTATTTCAAGAGCCATCTTTAATGAGCATATTACATAATAGGGCTGATTTCAGTTTGTAGTATATCTCTTAAAAGAAAAACCTCATGATATTCTTTAATTTGTTGTTGTTTTCCTTTTAAGGAAATATTTCAGTATTGTTTAGGCTTTTTATGTCATCAGTATTCTTAGAGACACTTTCCCCTTTAACATGAAAGCAACAATTACCAGCTATGTAAAGTCAATATAAAATTGTTAACTGAATTTTATTCCTATCACCAGAGTAATGTTTTTATTTAAATTAAAGTTAAATATATGAATGTGCAATAAGGCTCTGAGACAATCATGGTCATGTTTTACTTTCAGAATCACTGTAGGGAGATTATCTTCTCATCAATGTGGCAATTTGATAACTTTATTATACTTCACTTTTTCTGCTTTAATAAAGTTTAATACATCTGTGTTAAAAATTACTAGTAATGTCATGAAATTGCTATGAGAAAAATAGAAGTTGAAGGACAAGTACATATAGCACATATTCATACACCCAAGCAAAATAGGATGGATGAGTGGCTCTTGGAAGAGATGAATGGGTGGATAGATAAAAAGACTTAGGGACACATATAGATGTGATAATACTATAAATAAAAGCAAGGAAGTAATTAGCACAAAACTTAGAATGGCCCAGAGAAATAAGATGGAATAGGCACAAGGTATCCTCAAAGGTATTAGTAATATTCTGTGATATATAAAAGATCTGTTGAAAATTGTTACTTTTTGTTGTGCGTGTGTGTGTGTGTGTGTGTGTGTGTGTGAGACATATATTGATGTCACATTCATTTGAATTTAGGGCTTGCTCTTAGCACTCATTGTTATTTTGTTTTCCCTCTGTCTGGGGAAAATAATGAGTTAACCTCTTGCCTGAAGAGCCCAAAAAGGTGAATAAGAATGAAACAGAAATTTTGGAAGCATACTCTTGGTGGCTTCGCAGGCTTTATGTAGTTGTTTGGTTTTTGCCTAAACATACTATTTTACAACCATCTTGTTGGCCCTAGATTGCTTATGTACTAATATGCAGGTTTTTTGTTCATTGGTTTTCTTCAAGTGCAGTCTTCTAATTACTTTTAGACATAAAAATAAAGTAACTGATATTGATAAAGTAACTCTTATTACTATGATTATTACTAGACTTTAGATATTCTGTGTGGTTATCTAGAATTGAATATTTCCCCTTGGGATATACTAGCTTCTTCATGTTTCCCTTTTTGAATGTTTTGCTACTATTTTAGTTATAGTGAGTTAGTTTTAGTTATAATGTTAGTTTTCTTTTGATAGTAGCCTGTACAGAGCATTATGAAAAAGAAGGAACCATTCATTTGTTTAATCTGCTGCCAAGAAGTTATGGGGCTGGGGATTTAGCTCAGTGGCACTGTGCCTACCTTGCAAGTGTAAGGTCCTGAGTTCGATCCCTGGTACAAAAAAAAAAAGTTATCCTGCTTAGAGGAGAAAAAAAGGACAAATGCCTTTTGTATTTATGGAATGCTACAATTGCATTATTCTCTGTGCTTTGGCTTGTCATTATTTAGTACTCTTTTAGAGTATTAGAGTATTAAATAATAGAATAAATCCTGAAGAGTAAAGACCATCATAGGAAACTTTAAGTTAAAGATGTATAGGAGCCCCATGAAGATTAGAGATATACCTAAAATTACTCACATAGAACTTAGATTGCCTGAGTCCAGATTGAGTTACTTTAATAAAGAAGAATAAAATATTACATGGATTTTAATTTCATCCAGCATATAAAGGGTTATAGTGAATTTGTGTTACTAAACAAGAAGAATACTGTGTAGATTCTTAAAATAAATGTTTTCTGTACAATTTTGATTTTGTCTTCACAGTAGACAAGGATATCTTTTTCTGTATATATACTTTGTCCTTAGCCAAGTATAAAAATTACCTGAAGGCCTTCCTCCAAACTCAAACAAATCTAAACTTTAAAACTTACTTCTCATGTCTTTTCCTGACATCTTTTTGTATTTGTTTGAATTTGTCAATTTTCATAAAGCAATAGTCTCTAGAAATGTAAACCATGGCTCCTAACATTAAATATAAAAAGCACTGGGCTGGGCATTTAGCTCAGTGGCTCTGCCACCTGCCTCACAAGTACAAGGTCCTGAGTTCGATCTCTGGTACTAAATAAATAAATAAATAAAATAAAAAGCGCTAAGCACAGAGTAAATATTAATATAATAAAATATTTTTTTTGGTACTGGGTATTAAGCCCAGAGCTTTCTCACTGAGTTGTATCCCCAGCCCTTTTTTTTATTGTTTTGTGACAGAGTCTTGGTAAGTTACCCAGACTGGGCTCTTAACTTGTGATTCTCCTGTTTCAAACTCCCAGGTGCTGGGTTTACAGACCTGTGCCACCAAGCTCAGCTATTATAATAAAATTTTAAATGGTGATACAATCTTATTCATAAAATTATTAAGCTGAAAGATACCTATAGAAGGCAAATGCAGTTTTGCCTAAAATAAATTAGAAGGTAATTTTTCACCTTTCTACCTTTATGAAATAGAATAGTCTTCTAGAAATATTCAACAGGGAAATATTGGCAAGTAAAACCTCGTCATCATAAACACATAGAAACTATTGTAGAAATGTGTAAATATTAATGAAAGGCAAGTGTTTCAAATGATTGTGCCACATATGAAGTTTATTTTACTAACACAGGCATATCACAAAGCATTAATTAATTTCTTTTCCCCCTTCTTAACTTTAAGACTGTTTTTTTCTGACCTAGAAGTGTTATATGATTATAACATAGAGAGTTACACTTTTTAAATTCATTTTTTTTTTTTGGTACCAGGGATCAAACTCGCCACCTTGCGCTTGCCAGGCAGGCACCGGAACCACTAAATCCCTGGCCCACACTGTTTAAATTTTTAAAATATAGTAAACAAAATCTTGAGAAATGAAGCTTTATTCTTAAAAATAGAAATATCATGTTCATGAAATGTTTATAGGGAAATGCACTGATGTCTACATTTCCCAATGCAAGACAAAAAAATGTGAACTGATGCAGCTATAGAGGGATAGATAAATGGATAGATATATGATAAAACAATAGTATAAAATAATGATAGAACTCAAAGGTACACACAAACAGAATCAACTTTATGTTTAAAAATTTTTATAAAATGTTGAGAGGATGTCTATTACATTAAAGTCTATATTTACACTAAGAATTGAGAAAAAAAGAGTAGTGTTGGAAATATCTTAGTTTAAATGAAATATATATCATAGGCCAAAAAAATCATTTTGTGATTAAAAAGTTGTTAACCAATTTGATTTCTAGATGCTTTTCACTTATACTTTTCACTAATGGAGTATACATAGTAAATAGAATAATTATATAAAATCATGTCATAGAATATGAATGCTAAATAAGTTCACTAAGGTCATTTAAGCAACAGCATAGAATGATCTTTAGAGAAATACTTCCTTGTAAGGTCATCTAAAATGCTGGGAAATATATGTTAAATATTTGTTGAAAGCATGGTTGAGCAGGCAGGAAACTAAAGGAAACACTCAGAAGTTGAAATGACAGGATGCTGGATTCCTTAAAAGTAAGCAAACTGAAAGTTTGTCCTGAGGGCATCTTCTGGCACCTGGCAGTGAGTTGCATGTACAAAGGCAGTGAGGTGCACGTACAAAGGTGCACTGAGAGGACAGGGGACAAAGCTGAGGGTTCAAGCAGAGTAGGAGATTGGATCAGAGACTCTACTTAAGCCTGGACCCTTGAAGGGCAGCATCTTTCCTGAAGGGGCTAGGAGGAAGGAATGTATGAGATGCAAGAAAGAATGGTGGGCAAAAAAATAATGATAAACTGGTGGAAACCTAAGCCAAGTTGATCATGTAATACATATGCACTGACATCTAATTCCATGGGTTAAAAACTAAGGTAAAATAAAATCCTGAACAGAAAGGGAGTGAAAAGTAAACATATTCTAGATTCTTTATACTTTACAAGAGGAAGATAAATATATTTATTAATTTGAGATTTTATTAAATAAAATGTACGTGGTTGAATTTCTGGGGTGATCACTAAAAGAAAAGAAATAAGAGTACGGATTTGAAAGAAGTACAGGGAAAATGTTGGATGAGGAAAAAGAACCCAAAAGATGCCAAGAATTAGGTTTAAATGCAACATGCAACAAAGGATATAAAGAGTAATAAACACGTGAGGTAGTAAAAGTGAATCCAGTAATCTTCCTTTTTTTCTTTTGGTACCGGGGATTGAACTCAGGTCCTTGCGCTTGCGCAGCAGACGACGAAACCACTGAGCTAAATCCCCGGCCCTCCAGTAATCTTTCTTAATGAGTGGGCTATGTATTTAATTTGCAGACATTGTCGAAACATTCTCCAAGTTTTTTTCAAGATACATAAAACATAGAAAGTTTAAAAGTCACAAAATGGAAAAAATTATACCAAATGAATATTAAAGAGAGATAATGTCTGCAAAGCAAAATCATTAAAGATTACTAGAGATCAGCATTGCCAGAAAAAAGAATTCACCAGTAAGATATTACAGTTTAAATGTGCATAGCATAGCTTCAATACACATAAAACAAAAATTGACAGATCCACCATCATGGTTAGAGATTTTTTTTCACCTCTGTCACTTTCAACTTTTATCACTTGTGTGGTAATTGATTGAACAAAATATCAGTAAGGAAATCAAAAATTTAAACAACATAATTAAAAGTTTCATGCCAGGTGTGGTGGTAAATGCCTATAATGCTATTCAAGAGACTGAGGCAGGAGGTTTATTTGAAGCTAGGATATCCAGACCAACCTGGGCAACAGACAGAGAGCTTGTCTCTTAAACAGCAACAACAAGGAAAACTTAATGAACATATGTAGAGTACTATATCCAAGAACTGAAAATCATACTTTCATGAATAAACATTTATATAAATTGA